AACTGTACAGTTTGTTATGTCTATGGGGTCATTCCCGTACTGACAGCCAGCAAGTCCCTCACCAACACCATGTGTTTGGGATCTCCACTTCTTTATTTTGGATAGGGTCTAAATATGGGCAGGTCCTTTTTCCCTTTGGAACCTGAGCTCTGCGGTTTTCCGGGAGCAGGCGGCCACCAAAGCAGGGAGCCTCGCGGCGCCCTTGCTGATGGAGCTTTTGGGCTTTGCGGAGGCTGGGAATTCCAAGCCATGGCCTGCGGTTTTCTTTTTCGTGCTCAGTATGGCCTTCCGGGTGTTGGAAGGAACCGAAAGGGGATTCCCTCAAAGGACACGGTACGGCTTATCCTGACTCCCGAAATTCCTGGCTGAGACCTAGCAAGTTTGGGAGGTTAGCTCTTTGTTGGGTTACGGGTGGCTTGTTGTGGGGTTGTGGGGTTTGGGAGTTTGGGGCCTTTAAAGGTAAACCACAAAGAACGCACATCCAAATGCTCCTTGGGGCTTCCCCACAGGCCAACGGGGAGCCTGGTATATCGCCCGTCTCAGCGCCGAATACTGGTAATTCGTCCCCCAAGAGGAATGCAACCCCCCGAATGCAAAAGCTTATTGAAAGTGTTTCACCAGAAGGTCATGAACGTCACTTCCGTTTCTGGTTTTTAGGCCGCATCTCACTTATCCACATTGCGTGGATTTCAAGCTTTCAGAGCGTCGTCTGCCTTTTCCTGTCCAATCCACTTGCGAAGAGTGTGTGGCCGCCTGGGTCTTCTTAAGGGGGTTGAAAAACCCAACCCACACGCGCGGGCTTGAAGACCCCCTTGAAGCTGAACAGCGGCCCCCAAGTAGGGGTACTTCTATGTTGAACCCACTTCGCTAGGGAAAGCTCGCCACTATGTTCCGCTAGGGCGGGGGCGTGGGGAGTCGGGAGGCAATCTCCGCCTTTCCGGCCGCTTTCGGCTTCGCGGCGGGCCACCGCCACTGCGCGCGAGACGCGAGTCGCGGCAGGTCTCGGGGGAGCGGTTCCGGCGCCTTCGGTTGGTGGGGAAGCCTTCGAGCGCCGCGAAGGCTGGGAGCTTCGACTTGCCGGTCGGATTTGGAGCGAAGCGAATGGGAATGTATTTTGTTTGGAGCTACCACCCGTTTTTTGGTCTTAACGGGAAAACCAAAGGGAAAGCCGCCCGTTTGTTTTTTTTCCTGGTGTGTAAAGGGAAAACGACAGGAACATGCGACCATTTTGGGGTTCCCTGAAAAAGAGACCCCCAAGTGAATGGCAACTTATTGTGGAATGTGGCCCGGGTAGCCGTTTAGACTTTTGCAGAATGTAGTCGAAATTGTAACTCCCACGAAATCTAAGGCAACACAAATTGGCACGGGATCAGCGACCAATGTCCTGATTTGTCCATGGTCAATTGAATCTCTAGATTTCTCACTTCTCCACAGACACCAGGAGAACACTCATTTTTTGCCCCGCAAAAACCAGAGGGCCAGAGGGACACCATAGTTTCCCCATCTCCTTCCCGAAAATGGGCTTCTAACCCATCTCGTCAAATGGCACCTGGCATTCCTATCAGGCTTTGAGCAAGCTCCAGTTGATGCTTAATGCGGGCGGCGGCATCAGCAAATCCCAGCCTCGTGGGTTGTACGCATGGCTAGAAGTGGTTGACGGGGGTTAATTGAGTGATATAAGTATCATTTACCTTGAGGCTACGGGCACTCATGTACCAACACTGAGGGCGTTCTTTTGAGGGCTTTAAACTGTGTAACCTATATATATACCTATGTATACATATTTATATATGTATACACAAAGGGAGAAAGAGAGAGAGAGAGAGAGAGTCTTACATGGGCAGAAAAGGTGTACAGTTTCCCAGTGAACTGAGTTACAACCCTACGGGTACCGCGGCACACGATTTCACTCCTTGACTTCTAGGCGGGGCATATCCAAGTACAACTTAGTTTCTCAGGGCTCAAAGAAATTGCGTTTTGGGTTCTCATATACTCCCTTTGTACATACATACCCATTCATTGTACGTATTGGGTTCATATCAGGGCTACCCAACAATCCTCTGGGGCATGTGGTTGAGCCTTTGGAGATTGTTTGAAGGTCACGGGACCAGAATTCCCCATTTGGTCTTAAACTTTACGTTTGGGGCCAAACTGAGCTTCCTTTTGGGTGGTTTTTGTGTAGCAGGGTGAACTATTGCGGCCTTTGACGCGCGTTGGGGCCCTATACCGCCGAGAAAGGTTTTAATTGTTGGTTGCTCCAGAACATTTCATGTGTGGAGGGCAATTTGGCGTGCTTTCCAAGTTGCAGGTTGGGGAAGTTTCATGCTTGAAATGGTCAAACGATCTTGGTCAGCCTTTGTGTTTAGTTCAAAGTGGGGTCTCTCCCTGTATTTCCTTAGGTTTCCCTACCAAAGGGTCCCGTGGTTTCAAGAGAAAGTCCAAAAATCCAACTCCGTTTGGTTTCACTAAGCCACACCCCAAAAAAGGCCGGCCCGGCTTTGGCATATGTACGCGAGTTGGAGCCGAACGCGAAAGCTTGCGAGGCCTTGCAGAGGGTGAGACAGAGGCCGACTCCGGTCCGAGGAAAATGGGGGGAGGCCCCCCAGGGGTGCCTCAGGAGCTCTCCAAACTTGGGGACATGAAGATGAGTAAGGGAGAAGTCCAACCAGAAATGGGGGAGAGGGCTTCAATTTGAAAATCAGCCAGCAAAATCAAACTCTTTTTTCTCATGGGCCTGATGCAAGCCAGACGAAGATGAAGCGACACATGTGGAGGCTTTGAGCTTTGAAGCGCACCTTGCAAAATTAGTGAGTTTGGGGTGAAAGAGCAAGGCCCGCTGTAGGCTCTGCACGTTTGTCTCCAAACGAGGACCCAACCAAGCAACCAACCAACCAACCAGCCAACCCAACCAATGGAAACTAAACCAAGCCAAACTAAACCAAACCAAGCAACCAACCAGCCAACAAACCAATCGAAACTAAACCAAACCAAGCCAAACTAAACCAAGCCAAGCAACCAACCAGCCAACCAACCGAACCTAGCCAACCAAGCAACCTACCAGACCCATCCGAACCAAACTAAACCAAACCAAGCAACCAACCAGCCAACCAGCCAACCAACCGAACCTAGCCAACCAAGCAACCTACCAGACCAATCCGAACCAAACTAAACCAAACCAAGCAACCAACCAGCCAACCAACCGAACCTAGCCAACCAAGCAACCTACCAGACCAATCCGAACCAAACTAAACCAAACCAAGCAACCAACCAGCCAACCAGCCAACCAACCGAACCTAGCCAACCAAGCAACCTACCAGACCAATCCGAACCAAACTAAACCAAACCAAGCAACCAACCAGCCAACCAACCGAACCTAGCCAACCAAGCAACCTACCAGACCAATCCGAACCAAACTAAACCAAACCAAGCAACCAACCAGCCAACCAGCCAACCAACCGAACCTAGCCAACCAAGCAACCTACCAGACCAATCCGAACCAAACTAAACCAATCCAAACTAAACCAATCCAAACTAAACCAAACCAAGCCAACCAACTGGATCCCGTCGAACTCCTCGCCCTCCAGGCTCCGGCGTCATTCGCGCTGGGCGGGCGCCAAAGTCAAGGAGCCCACCTGGCGCCTCGAGGACCTCGGGGGGATCGAAATGAGCAAAGCCGGGGATTGGAGCCGGAGCTTGGTCCTTGCTTTCATTTGCTTGAGTTGTTTTTGCCCCTGTTGGTTTTAAAGGGAATCTATCACTGCTGGACATATGTTTGTTTTTCCAGGGGTCTTAAGCAAATGGAAGCTTGGGGAAGCCCGAACTGCGGGGAAACCTTCGGTGGCTAGATGTTGTTTTTTGGTTGGATTGCTCCTTTTCGACGAATTGGATGGCGCTTAATGATTAGAGCCAAACTGAAACCGCCATCGATGTCTAGTACTGGGTAGTGGGTGACCCAAGCATGGCTCTAACAAATAGGTTCCTTTCGTGATTGTCCTCTGGTGCAAGCGATCGGCACCCGTTGAACGGATTCCCTCGCCCTTGTGGTCCCAGCTTTCAAGACCATTTTCTGGAGGAAGCCGCAAAAATGGGCCCCAAGTTGTTGGCAGCCTGCACGGCCTTGTCCGACACCAGATATAAGAGCTTCTCAAAGCAGGGAGGCTTCCCCCTGAATACCGAAAGGAGTCCACCACTGTGAGAAACTTCCAAACACAGACAAATCAGAAGGGCCACTTTGAGTTGGGGGGTCGATTTGTAGCCTTCAGCGGTCGTTCGTTCAGACCAGCCTTTAGGGGTCACGCACTGGCCCTGAGCCTTCATTGTGCCAAGCTTGGCAAGTTTCCGAAAGAGGAGAAAGAGACAGTTTGCTTCCCTGCAAACGACGGAGGCCTTTTACAGGGACATCTTTCTACTTTGTTTTTCTTGGTGTTTCCTGCCAGGAACCAGATGCCCAGGTTGATTCCGAGCCAAAGCCTTTGCCTCCAGGAAGGGGACGACGAGCTCGAGGTGCCTCGAGACGTGTTTTGTTTAATTTGGCCACAGGTTGGAGTGGGGCCATGAAAGGGGCGAACAAGAATTTGGAGCTTGTGCAACCGCAAGTGATGTTATTTCAGCCAAATCCAACTTTACTCGTCCAACTTCTGGAGTTTCACGTGGGCTGATTAGCTTATTCGCATCCGTTCAACGAAGATGGCCGAGTCCGACGATTGCATCATTCACTCCCAGCAGTTGGTTGCGATGGTTGCCATCCTTCCGGTGAATTTCTTCGCCGTGGCCAATGTGTTGCTGTTGTTTTTTCCTGTGTTTTTTGTGTTTGTTCCCTTTCCGATCCACGGTTTGTTTGACCCCGAGCCTGTTCCCTGAATCTGTTCAAAGTGACAACCTGCTTGGCATAGGTCTCAACCTGAACGATCAAAGACGGACCTCAAAATCCAGCCTTCAATCGAGGGTGGCTCGATTTTTGAGGGTACCGCTTTGGGGGTTGGTTTAAACGAAACCAAAAAGATCTTGATGGTCCCCGCATCCTTGGGTTGAGGTTGCTTCGTCGAATGGGCAACTTAGAGTTGTGTGTTGTGTTCACTAAATAAACCTTACAAAGCGTGAACCCTATGTGAACGGTGACATTTCAAAGCCGTACCCCAAGACGTTTGGTTCCATTGTGAAATATATATATATATATATATATCACCAGTTGGTACACAACATATGACATCCATCCAACAGGGTCCATATTATATTACATATATATATATATGCACTCATTAAAACGCATCCGGCTTTGCCTGCAGTGTCATGGAGCGACCAATTGTATGTCAGGCAGGCTTCGTCTCCACCGACAACTTTGTGCTGGGTATTTCACTCGGATGCCCTGGCACGTTTGACAAAGTTGACCTGAGCGTTTGGTGGTTTCTCTGGGGCCATTTCGGGTTTTATGGCGTCACAGGGATGGCCCGACATGCAGGGATGGCAGCCACATCACAGTCGTGGGGCCTGTGGAATTTGGCAGCCTGGAACGGGTCCCTTTGGCGCCTCAACGCTCCCATGGCAGGGGAATTGTCCCCAAGTCCAACCGGCCAACTAGAGGAAGATCTTTTGGAGATTAGAGATCCAAAGGTTTCAACCTCAATTCCTTTAGACTTTACATGTTCCAGCGGTTATTCAACAAGGCTCATGTTTTACGCAACCCTGTGTTGGGCCCACTTTGGGGGTCATTTTCTGCTCAGCGGTATCGAGCTGGTGAATGACGGGGACTTGTGCAGATGGACTCCGTTCTCTCAGCCGGGTGAATCATGGTACTTGGGGCAGAATGGTTTCAGCAATCCAGCTTAACCAGGCAATCAGACCAGTTTATGCTTAGAAAGGCTTGGCTTCCGAAAATTCAGGTTTGACCCTCCAAAAGCTGTTTTGGCTTCCCTTCAAACGCCAACAATAAAGCGGGCCCGTGTTTTTTTTTGGGCACCCCCCCCCCCAACATTTCCAGCCCCGCCATCTTGGAGTCCAAAGCCAGTATGAAGCATGTCTAGAAGGATGAAGCCTGGCATCTGCAAGTTCAGCTAGCCCATTCAGTCCTGGCGCCAAGCAGACCATCGGAAGCCACCCCTGGTATGATGTACACTGCTCCATGTTGCAAGCTCCTTGGTTTTTTGTTTTTTTTGTTGTTTTTGAAAAACTTGTTTGGGTCGGCGAGTCGGCTGCAAAATTGTGTTGTCTTAAAAAGGTGGGGGGAACCCCAAACATTTTCCTGGGTGAGTTCGCCTTGCGCTCCAGATGTTGCAGAGCAGCTGAAGAGCGGGCCGCACGCACAGCTGCTGTCACAGATCAAGGAGGAGCGGCCCGGGGTGTTGCTTTTGGGGTAGGAAGCCTCACGAAAGCGAAACGCAGCACGGCGATTTGGTGGATTCCCTTTGAGACAAATGCATCATACACCCTCAAATCTAAGAACGCCACAGTTGTTTTCCTGCTGGTTTGCCCTTGAAGGAGTGGTCTGCTGGAAGGCCAGAAGTCTGTGTCTTCTGACAAAGGACAAGTGGGTGGCTCGTCTTTTTGTAGGGGACCCCCCAAATTGGTGCAACATCGGGGTATCCCTACTGCCCTGAAAGGACCCCCTCGATCAAAACTGCCAGGGAAGGCATTCTGAAGGATTGGCTTTTGACTCCACCTCTGTTGGCCAGTGGCGCCCTTTGTTTCCTTTTTTTGGGGAAGGGTCCCTCTTTGAACTCGACCAACCAAAAAGGACTCCCTTTCTTCCCCATGGCCACTCGGCATCCGAAAGATCCGGCTGTGTTCCGGTTTGCCAACCCATGCCAACCCCAAAAAGGTAGCCTCGAAAGAAACACACTCACGCCCTTTGGTGGCTGCTGCGTTAGGATTCCGGTGCGGCGGCGCGCGCCGGGGGCCAAGGAGAGATGATGCTGCATTTCCCTCAGGCGAATGGTTTCGGGAAAACTGCTGGGAGCCCTCTCTCCCACTAAAAGTTAATCTGCTAGCAGGGGATCTGAGGACAGCCCAGAAAGTATGACCCCTTAACATCTCTTTGGGCAACTGGATGTTAGCTTCGCTGGAGAACAAAGTCGAGCTTATGGTGAAGGCCCTTTACTTGATTGTGTGTTTCGGGCGCCGTATTATTTGAATAAAATTCCTCCCCGCTGGATTGGGTTTTTGTCCAGTCGCCAAGCAAGCAAGCAAGAAAGCAAGCAAGCAAGCAAGCAAGCGAGCGCCCTCAAGCCCCCAGTAGACCCTAACGCAACCTACCCTACAGCTACCCCGAGACCTTAGACCTACCCTCTAAACCTACCTTAAGCCCACGCTACACCTAAACCTATACGCACCCCAAACCTACCCTGAACATACCTTAAACCTACCTTGAACGTACCTTGAACCCAACCTACACCAACCCTGGACGCACCCTAAACCCACCCTAAACACCACCCCTAATCCTACCCTAAACTATTAGCCAACACTAAGCCGTGAAAGCAACCCCCCCTGAAGAACCAACCCAAAACCACGCGAGCCCCTAAACCAATCCTTCCTGAAACCTACTCTAAACCTACCCTTCACCTACCCACCCCAGCACCTACCCTAAACTTACCCACTCCAGCACCTACCCTAAACCCATCCTAAACGTACCGACACGTATACCCTACCAGAACCCACCCTAAACCACCCCAAACCAACCCACTCTGAACCCACTCTAGACCCAGCGCGTGCCAATGGAACTGGCACTTTAAAGATGTGCAAAGGGCGCACATCAAGGCTGATACCGCGGAAATTACATTTGCGTGACACCCCTGCAAAATACGAACCTCAAGAATGGTAGACTCACTACACATGACACGAAATGAAAGCAATGGGCGACGTGCGGAAAGGTGTCCCTTTGGTTTCCAAAAGACCCGGCAAGACAAACCGCACACAACCTGGTTGTCATCGGGGCCAAAGCACAGGGTCTTGACACGGCAGGTCTTTTGGTTGAACATTCGTTCAAAATGATGGGCATTTCCATCAGAAGACCCCCAGGAGGAAACGACAGTGCCCATACATAGCCCATTCTTTTCTCAAACCACTCGTTGCGCACCTCACAGCCGCAAAAACCAGCCAAACGTGCCAGCCCTGTTGTTTTTTCTTTGGAGAGGGGTTCCCGATTTTAGATTGAGCTACCACCAAAGAAGGCGTGTCTTTCCGTGGAAGATTTGGGAGAAACAGCGCTCTTGGCTTCGTTGAGGTCTCAAAACACCCACGACTTTGCCCTCGGCCTTTCGACAGGTCAGCAGCAAGCTGGGGGAGAGCGCCAGCCAGGGCCCCAAAACTTCTTTAGCCAGCTGCGGGCATGTGTCGAAATAGGGATTTGGCCGGGTAGTCATTTCTTTGGGGTTGATGGTTTCATTCGAACCAAAAAGTCTATTCTGACTAGGCCTGTCTGGGTGGTTTCCCTTTGGCTTCCCTTTAAACCAACCTCAGGAAGGAGGCCTCATCAGAATCCTCCCTCTCCGGAAAGCAATGTTATTTGTTCTAGAGATTTAAAGTACCACCCATCGAATCAACAGAACTACCCACTCACATGAGCGGAATCTACCAGTTGTTTCCTGGAGCCATGACCAGACTTGGTTTCAAATCAATTGTCCCACAAGCCCATTTTAGTTTAGGCCCTTGTATAGATCTCCCGATGCCGGGCGTTTTCTCGAATACCTCAACCGTATCGATGCGAGTTAGGTGTGGAGATTGCGGGGAGCTACTGGTCCAAGATGCGAGCCTTGCTCGAGATCTCTGCGGTGGTGATGCAGATGCATGGGAGCCCGGTGCAAACCCTCGGAGTCGGTTGGTTTTTAAGGTTGGTTTAAAGGGAAGCCTTCGGGATTGCCCTCTTTTGCACATACCCAAACCACCAATCAAACCCACAAAAAGGGGGGGGGGGGGGGTGGGAGAGGGATAGTTGATTCGTGTGTTTTTAGGCCCAAATCCCCCCAATCAGACCCTAATCCGTTCCACCTTTATAATAAAACCCTATTAATAAGTTCTCTTTTTCCCAGACCGGGTCCCCAATACTTCTAGAATAGGCCAATTCAAACCAGTGCTAAAGTTGCGGATTTCTTGCCCGGACCAGCCCCAGCCTTATTTAAGGGTAATAGTCGAGGACCCAAGCTCCTTGCACAACCCAATACCAAATTCTAAATGCATACTTACCTTTTACTAGTTTACATTTATTTCTTGAATCGTACTTCTAAATTTAAATTGCGCCCTTTGCTTGTGAACCGCAAAAACAAAAAAGCAACCTTGAACGGTTTTAAGTTAAATTCGTTTCTCGGAAAAATGCGGTTGTGATGTGTTTCGTGTCCGGGAACGGGGGAGCCCATTTGGACGAGGACCGAAGAGGAAATCCAGTCGACCCCAAAGGGCACTATCAATAACCATGTTTTGTCCCCCAGACCTGATTTATTATCCGGGGGGGGCGGGTCCGCGTTTATTCTTAGGGGGAACGGATTGAGATGTCCGAGTTCTACGAAACGGGTTCCGATTGCTTGCACCTTGTTTTTTCTTGCATCTGGAAGGAAGCCATTCAGAACCCATGGGTCTCTCAAAGTGAGTTCCTCTTCATTTGCGTGTGTCTTTTCTGGAGTTGGTATTTGGTCTTATGGTTTGAAAGGGAAACCAAAAGGAACTCCGAAGCCATTTTGTGAGTCCCCTGAAATAATAAGAAAAATAAACAGTTTGTTTCTTTTTTCAGAGGGGGTCCTCTTTCCAGTCTACCAACAACAGGAGCCCGTGCTCTTTTTTCCAATGGTGACAACCAGTGGTTCAGCCCCGCCGAACCACCACAAAGTTGGGATAAGGCGTGTCAAAATTGGGATTTGGGCCCCAAAAACTGTGGTTGTCCTTGCAGTTAACACGGCTAGGTGGTCGCATTGTGAGGGGATCGGTCATTTTGATGGACCCAGTCTTACGGCAGAAACTCACTTGGTATTGCCCTGTTGATGTCGGAGTTCGCAGAACCCGCAACCCGCAATGCAGGACCCATCTTGATGATGAATTGCGTTTGGTTTCTGAAGGCCCTTGTGGAATGCCGGATCATATCGGATCCCCGTCAGGGGTAAATGACTCCGGGGGTTCCCATTTTATTTGTGCACTTCTAAGCCGTTTTCCCCAGAGCAAAGCTTTGGAGTCAGTTCGCCAATCCTGAGTTTGGGGTTTGGGGCAGGGCAGGTTGCGAAGGATTCCTGGCAGGTTCGAGGGACGGAGGCTGCTGGGGATAATCACTTGGAACATCTCGGAATATTCTTTCTGAGAAGGACTTTTACAAAAACCAAGCACCAGAAATACACCCTCAAGGGGGCGGGTGGGCGGGTGGGCGGGGGGGTGGGGGGGTGGGGGGGGGCTCCTCGAGTTTGTTGATGCCCCGTTGTGCGTCGCTGACTGGCCGAGCTTGAGGCAGGCAGAGAGCCCAAAGCTCGGCCTCTGCCTGAGAGAGGAGAAGCTGAGCGTGGAGGAGGCCCTTGAGGCGGCCAAGCCGTGCAGGCCTCAGAGTGATCTCGGGAAGGAGGGGGGGGTCCTTGGGGGGGGGTCTTTGGTTCTTGGGGGTGTGGTGTGGTCTGGTATCTCTTTGGGGAGGGGTATGGAAATGATCTGACTCCCAGAGTTCTCTTGGATTCTTTTTCGCTTGTGGGGAGGACTTGTCCAGCGGCGAACCGCAACTTCGGACTTTTGCCGATCAGGAAGTGAGGTTAACTTCGAACTTATCAGGACATAATCAGAGGAGTCCCCTTGAAATTTTGAAATGACGAGATTCCCTACTGAAAGGCCAACCACCCCTGAGTAAATCCGATCCTTCAGGTTCATCCGAACAGAACGAACTCACGGGGCTGAACGAGATGGATTACCTATGTCCGGTTTGCGGATGATACTGATTTGCACAGATCTCGCGTGTTCAAAGTTGAAAACCGCTGGTGTGTTGGTCTCCTTGTCCCTTTACCATGTCCCAATTCGTGTGAAGAACACCAAGTTCAAGCTTTGCGCTGTTTAGTAGGCTTCTTCACCACATTGAGTAACTGCCACACAAGTGGCATTGGCCAGTCAACTCAATAGGACAGTTCTGGGAATTTGTATGAACACAATCGAGAACACAGCTAAAACATAGAGAGCACCTGTTGACATGTGTGGTTGTCCGAAAACATGGGCAGTGGGAACCTAAGAACTGGAAACCAAATGCACGTATCATGGGACAGTAGCTCACCTTGGGTTCCACCAATTTAGATCAAAACTTATGCGGAGACTTTGGCGATCACGCAACACTCGGAAAGGTTCGGGCCTTCTGTTGGATCTGAACCTACGAAAGGCAGTCAGAGAGACGTCTGCAATTCGACGAAACCCGGGGTATCCTGCTGTTACTATTCCTCAAACACGAGGTTTTACCCATCCTCCCGCCAACAAACATGGAGTTGCACAGACCCATTGCTGGAAAGGGCAAGCCGATCTAAACATAATGCCTTGATTAATCTGTGATCAACCTGACCCAGTCAACTTAGGTAATGAGGGAATGAACCTGATGGTTCCCTTAAAAAAAGGAACCACAGGGGTGCTGGGCACCAGCAAGTCTATCTAAGCCTTCATAGCGTCAGGCCTTCGAATACCCTGAGGTTCACGCCCGATGCTCGCGCAGGCAAGCGCATCGCTCGATGGATCGTGTCGCATGGGTCGCATCCTTTGGACCCATAAATGGCTGTGGGTCAAAATTAATGGTGTTATTTTTGGATAGGTGCACCACCCATTTTAGTCTATTTTAGTGGGGATTGGGATGTTCACTGGGGGTACGGGGTTCTGACTCATGGCCACATAGGTGAACCATTGCAGCCTGGTGACCATTGGTGACAATGAGTGGGCACGGACCAAGGGTGACCTTCCTGTGGCTCCCGTTTTGCTCGCGGCTGTGAATCAGTTTCAGAGGCATGGGTCTCCAGATACATTGGAGATTTCCTGCATTGAGATGGGTGAACCATAGTAACTAAGTACAGTTCCCCCCCTTACTACGCGCAGTGCCATCTACTTCACCTTGGTGTCAGTGATAGACATGGGTTTATTTCCAAATCAAACGGAATACTCTCTAAATGGGCTTCGGTGGTTTCCTTCGTGGAAGTGGTGGGCAGAAAGTCCAGTACATCTGTACTTACCTATGCTTTGGAAGGACATGCTCGGCTTTGCTTGACTGGGACAATATGGACCAGGCAGTTCTACCTGCACCTCTTCGCTAGGGTGCCTCTGTTTTTAAAGCAAAAGGAGCCAAGAATGCTAATCTCGCCGTGACACAAAGTCAGGATTGTGGCTGATTCCTGTGCAGGACAGCCCATAGTTCACATCCCCAAAATGAGCGTGTGCGTTCTCAGCGGGTTCCTGGGAATTCCTTGGTGATATTGGGCCTGCAGTAGACCATCCCCTCTAGATCCCCAAAGAGGCTTCAATGGCTGGGAATTCTTGTGGTGTTTTGTGTCGCGGGGTTTGCGCAGCTTGTTTGGGTCCAGTTTCCAGGCTCCAAGCGCCGACACTCAGCAACCAAGGAGGTTGCAACAAAAAAGCACCCCACACGCGACTTGAAGAGGACACGTGCACAAAAAGCAAGCCCCGAAACAAGGACCCCTTCATGTGGACATGCACAAAGTGGGTGGGGTCGCCCCTGTTTTTTGAGGCCGGAGACCGGAGACGTTCTTGTGGTTCGCTCTCTTTTATTTTTTGGGGTGGGATTTCGCATTTGTCCGCTCGTTCGTTCACTGGGTTTGGGTCAAAATCAGTTAGTACCAGAAAGACCATATTAGTTTCAGTGCCTGGTTCCATAGGGCAAGTACAGTTCCTACTGTGGATGGACGAACTCCTGCACCTAAGAAACCATGGTTGAAACCACTATTTGTTCTTCTTCTTGTTGTTTTGTTTCTTATTTGCAGGGAATCAGACCATTCCAGGGCTTGCGAATTGGATTTGGTCCATCCACAGTAGGCACAGACCCACTCGAAAAAGGTGCCCGGCGTGGCCAGGTGCCCGGCGTGCCGGGCGCTTTGTGCTGGAGCTCGTTGGCCCCGCGGCCGGGGAGTTTCGGGAAAACGCCTCGGGAAGTCGAGCGGTCGGGCGGGGGGCCGTGGATGGACCATGCTTGGATGTTATCACTTTAACTTTTTGCCAGCTAATGGGGTTTTCATCAAAATCACTAAAAGTCAAACTTTTGGCTGAGATCAGTCCTGCAGAAAGGGACGACACCCTCTGAATGTTGGGGTAAATCACCAACTGGTGCAGGATTTTGCCCACTGTGTGGCAGAGGCAGGATGGTCTTGAGTGTCCTTTGGGGGGGCATTCTGGGGGGTTTCCTATGTGAGACAAAACCCTGGTTCAGGTTTGACTCATCCGTAATCCTGCCCGGTGAGGTGTACAAACATCATCGAGTACAATACCCATTGTCACATGACATGATTAGTTGTGACCTTGGGTTGCCTCGGCTGCTTTCTGTGTTTCCGGAAACACTCGGAAGCGCCAAAAAGGCTCAGGGCAAATCGACGAACCCCAAACCAGAGAGCGGGGAAACCCGAAATAGACCCGATAGAACAGCGTGTTCTTTTTAGGCTTCCTGTAATTAAGGCTTTCTGGGACCTGGGAAGTTTCCCAGATCCCAGAATCTCCTCAAAATATACGTAAACATATATGTAGTAATATATATATATATATATATTTGTGTTCTATCTCCAGGTTGACTATGCATGAGACTCCGAAGATCCGAGTTTGGTGTGTGGAATCGGTGGGCCTTGGGCGCCAGGCGCCAGTTTGCGGCGCGGCCATGGCGGTTTGCCGCGAGAGCGAGCGCAAGGCGCTCGAGCCCGTTGGGGGTGAAGGGGGGTGGGTGCGGACAGGATTTTTTGTTTAAGCGCTTTTAAGGGAAGCCCTGAAAGAAATTCATAAAGTGACCTGATAAAGTCATCAATGCATAGGAATGTGGCCACTTTGGTGTTGCCGACCTGACATGGCTTCTCGAGAATGGGAAGTACAGCACAAAACGGGCTTTGGGGGGGTTGAATGGATGCGCTTTCGCCATGAGGGCTCCCACCAAGCGGCAGCCGGCGTCGAGTTCGCCTTTGGATTATCCAGCTTCCTGTGCCCACCATGTCAGCCACATCTTGTTGCCATCGATGTCCGACCTCTGATCCCCGTCGTCCGCCTGGAGAGTCGCTTGACGTTCCGCGTTGCTTCGAACCGTTCCTAAATGATCAAGGCCACAAATGTAGAAAATTGGTCTCGGTTTCCTTCGGATTCCTTCGGTCTCCTTCGGTCTCCTTCGGTTTTTTCGGTTTCCTTTCGTCTCCTTTGGTCTCCTTTCACCCACCAATGTTCTGCTGTGCCGCTGGGGGCACCTCAAAGTCTCATTTTCCCTTCCTACCCCACCCCAACAGGCAGTTTTAGGGAGGCACCTCGGGCTTTTGGCCGGCAACAGGGGGCCTTTTGTGTTTTTCCCTTTGGGGTGGCTTAAGCAACAGCGTTTCAGAGCCAGTCTCGATTGTCCTTGGGGTTTAAGTTGCAAGGGGGGGTATAAGGAGCCATGCTCGGTGGCCAAATCCACAGAACCTCGGCGCAAAGCCACATCTCAGATCATGCCTCCTCACTTTGCCGACTGGACGACCACATTCTCAGCCCCCATGAAAACGTTGTCCTACTCAGCCCTTGTCCCCAAGCATCCCTCCATGTATGTGCCTCGATCTTTTATTCGTCGAATCATGCTTTGTGTCCGCGACTCCAGAGGTGGGAATTACTGCCCGGACCAGCATGGAGCCTCAACAAGTCCCAAAAGGCCCACAACTTTAAGTAAAATTCACCAGGGCGGACTCTGGGCAGAGAGATTTAGCAACTGCCAGACTCAACTGGCCGTTTGAAGTGTCCGCCCTTTCGATTTTTGGGTTTCCTTCATTTTCCCTATAATAGGCCCTTGTTAAGCTAAGCCCTTTATAAGGGCCTATTTGGGCTCCCTCCCCCCCTCCTCCCCTCCCCTCGCCCCCCAGCCCCCATGCCTTTTGGCCAGTGACATTCTGACTTCCAGCTGCTTCACTGGGATTCGGAGCCCGTGTCTCGCCAGGCCTTGGCCCTGGAGCGGAAGCAGGGGCCGCCTGGGCTGCTGGTGGACTATCTCGCCAGGCGAGAGGACTGAGAGAAAAAGGAGGGCGCCAATGGTTGTCTCCATTTGCTGCCGAAAAGCAAATAAACAAATTGTGGAAAAAACAAAAGCGTGGGGGATTGAAAACGATCCGCGGGGTTTTGCTGTTTCCTTTTGAGGGTTCAACATGAGAAGGTTCCTGCCTTAAATGCCCTTCACCTTCGTTTGAAACACATTGCAACGGGGTCTAAAACAACGCAGGAGGCATCCTCATTTTGAACAACCCTCAAAAAGAAGCCAGCAGCCGGCGGGCAATTTGCCATCGTTGGTGTGAATCTTTTTGCGACCCAGGTTTTTGGGAGCGATCTTTGGGGGGACACCTGCAACTTGCGGTGGGTTGCCAAGGCTTGTCCCAGCCTCAGTGGATTCCACCTAAATTTCTCTGGTGGGCTTCCCCTGCTAAAAGTGGGGAACCAACCCCAAAAAGCGGGGGAGGGCTTCACCCCCCCCCCCCTCCTTGGCTTGCGGCTGGAGCAGGGGACTTTTTGGATGGTCAGGTGCCTTCTCGTCTCTTTCTTCAATCGGGGAATTGATTGCAGTGTGTCCAATTCACGAACCTTACGCAATTTGTTTTATGCACACTCCCCAAAAGGGTTCACTTCTTGTTCTTCCAGGATCACGCAAATGTGTCGTAGTTCTGCACGCATCATTTGTTGAAAGTCCCCCAAGAGCAGGTTTTGGTGGGGGATGTTCTCAACCAGGGCCTTATGCGGTTCTTTGTTGTGGGTATCCTTAATGTTAGGGGCTTGTTCAACAGACACATGGGGTGTGTCCTCAAATACCAAGTAATCGGACCCCAAGAATGGTAGGTGATTTTGTGGTTCCCCTTCAATCACCAGCCTTGTAGCGTTTGCAGGCACTTGGAAGTTAACCGACTCTCCAAAAAGCGTGCCTTGGGTGGTTTCGCAAGGAAGCCGTCACGAGAAAAAAGATAAAACGGCCAAAGAGGGGCCAGCCGTCCGAGTCAGTCGGTCCAACTGACAGCATTGAAATTGAAGCGCATGAACAACTTCCAACGACTGTGCCCATGGGACGCGCAGGTGGTTCGGCCGCGACGCGGGGCGCATGCTGCGGGAGAGGCAAGCGGGCCATTTGAAGCGGGGCCGGGTGCCCAGAAGGAAGGCCAGGGATTACCCTTTGTCTGGTTTCATTTCAAGGGACATCACAAGAAAAACATCATTTTTCAGAGACATATAGTCCGGTGACCAGGTAGTTTGTTCCACACAACTTTGGCAACTGGAAGCACGGGGTCGGGGACACCAACGATGGTTTTTCTTTCACCAGGACAAGAGGAACCAACCTAATTTGCCCATCTTGGGACTGGGTAGTACGACGCGCCCACATTTCATACGAATATTCGCGGACTCGAAAATGAATGGTTGGTCGACAGGCCCATGTGGCGTGTCATCCCCCTACCTTAAACACGAAGGAAAGTGTCTAGAATTCCTCCCTCGGTCCCAACAAACCTGCGAACCATGGCGGCCAAAGGGCCAGTTGCCCAGTGACTCCCTTTGTCCTGGAAAGGGTTCCTGACAAAAGTTGCAGCCCTTTTTCCCACCCTTTTGGAGCGCTGCGTGGTTTTCATGGGGGGGGGGGGGGGGTTCATGGGGCAGTACACAAACGGGTGGCGCCGTTCGTCCCCCTTGTTCCCACTGTATGTTTTGTTGTTGTTGTTTTGTTGTCCTGTCTTTAAAAAAAATGGGGGGCACCTGTTTTCTGTTTTGCAAAGTCCCCCCTTTTGCCTGCCATCTTTGGGGTGTTCATGGGTGCACTGGGAAGGGGCCACAAGTCACACTGGGTTGCGAAACGCCGAAGAGCTGCCACGTCTCTCTGAGTCTTTGGCCCCAGGGGTTCCTTTCGCGGCCGAGAGCGACATGAAGAGGCGCTCTCTGCCGGACAGAAGGTGTAAGAGGGCCTGTGGCTGGGGATCGGGTCCCCCTTTTGGTGGGCCGGAGGGAGACCAAAAGGAAGCCAAGCCTCTTTTGGGGGTCGGGTCATTTTGAACCCTATGAACTTTGATCCAGATTGCAGTGGTCTATGGCTGTATGATGTTGTATGGTCCTTGAGGGACAAGGGGTCGACTCACGCAAGATCCCAGAAAAGCCAGGGGACTTGCCAATGTTGCCATGTCCCTTGTGGCAACCAACTAACTTCCTAATATCCACAACAGGTTGGGTAACTCTATGTTAAGCTGAGAGGAGACTGTTGCACGGCTGGAACAAGCTGAGGCGGGGAATTAGCAACACGGTCACGCTGGCAGCATCCGCTTTTGTTTCTTTTCTTTTTTCTCGGCTTGTTGCATGCTGCAGTCCATCACACGTACATGTGGCTCAAAAATCCCAAACAGTGGTCAGTTTAGTGGTGCCCCTGTCCAGAATGGTTTTCGGGGCGTCTTGCAATCAACTGGACAGAGCACAAACCAGCACACAAAGAGTTGACCATTGAGACAATATCGATGTCAACCACAGCTACTGAGGTTTAGTGTCTGCCTTGCCGCCATGCATGCGGTCAACGTACATGTCTTACTCCTACTTACACTCAAATCCCAGATTTTGGCAGAGCACAAAACACAGCAGCCGTACCAGGCTTGTGAAGAGTCGGATGCTGTGGAAGATGTCCAAGTTCATATCAGCTTCGCACAGCTCCCCACACTCCGGTTGCATGAGACGGGCAAAGGCCTGCATCAAAGACATGGCCTGGATAGGGTGGATGCATCAACTTACAACCTTTGGGATTCCTATGTCCCGTGCAGTTCTTGCCGCTGTCGTGGGCTGGAGTCGCAAAAGATAGAGATATCTTGGGGACGTGTGTTGGACAGCGTTTTACCTGAGGGTTCCGACAGTGTGGATTGCTATTATGATGCCTGTGAGAAGCCGCGCGCACTGAGCTTTATCCGTGCCCCAACCAATGCCGGCAGCAGCCTTGCCTTCGTGATCGTAGGCTTGATCATTTGGCGTTTGGCTTTGCGTGATATGAGCTTCCAGCGCAACTCTTGCAGGCCACTGTTGTTCCAAGCCATGCAGCATGGATTTACAGTGATGGCAGAAGGCGTGGGCTCTTTCCTCTACCATGCCTCCTTGACAGGGCAGATGAACACCCTGGACACACGGACAATGCTTGTAAGCTTTGTTGGTCAGGGATTCACACTGCTTGTTGCTGGCCACGCGCTCCTCAAGCAACCTCTCGGAAGCTGGTTCTGGGCTTGGTGCTATCTTGGGCTCATTTTGAGCATGCTGTGGAGTTTACATATCGATTGTGGCTGCTTTGACCAGAGTGAACTGCTCTGCCGCAGTCAAGGCTGCTCTGCTGTTCTACTGGCCGCAGGGATGATCAATTGTTCAGCGCCAGTGTTCGTAGAGCTGGCGTTGCGCAGCCGAAATGAGCACGGCTGTGCTACATCGAGTGAGGCGGCAACAACCGCTGACCGAATCCGTTGGCTCATGTACAGTTCTGTGGCGCTTTGGTTTGTTGGATACGCTTTCAAGTTCCTTGATGATGTTCGCTTCATGTGTCAGCCTTCGTCCGTTTTGCAGTTTGTTGGCCTCATGCATCTCACGATGGCCACATCTATGCTTCTCAGTTTCCTTGTCATGAAAGAATGCCTGGACCTGCGGTAACGACGGAAACAAGAGCGGTTCACTGCACGCTGACGCTGAGGAGGGTTTGAGGCTTCGCGGCTTCAGTTCAGGGAGATTCTGGCTAAAGGATGGCAGAGGGCCGCGGCCCGCGGCTCAGAGTTCGTTTGGTCTCTCAAGATAGCGAGAACTTCCCATTCCAACTTTGAGAGCCTCTGGCCTGCATCAGTCTACCAGGCGCCTGTTGGGATGTTCAGGGCTTCATGTGTGTAGGCTACTCCATCGTGGAGGCATGGCTTATGCCTGTAGGGGTTGTCATTTGAGTCTGACCAAGTGCCCAAAACTCGCTTGACTTGCGACTGCAAACCGTGGCCCACAAGGAGTTTCCCCCACACATTTGAGCCCTGACCGACTTGCCTATTGCTAGTTTGGGCAGGATGCGACGGGGGTCCACCACCAGAATTTCAACCATGAGGCTTTCAGAATTGACGTTAATGTGCTAGTAATTTGGTCAGGTCTGGATCTGGTCCTATCCGAACTTGAGTTGTTCTTCTTTTGATCTCGTAACAAACTGAGCAGTGCTGATTATGAAGGATTGGAATTCCAATTTATGAGTTAACAAGTAACGGGAGGATTAACTTCAGCCCAGCGAACCACTAGTTGTTTGGCAACACAAAGCTGCAAAGCGACACTGTGCTTTTGGGCAATCTTGTGATTCCAGATGTGTTTGTTTGTCAGACTCAACTGCTTTCAGGCCAAAGACTGCCGAGCTCGTCGCTACAGTGCAAGCCGTGCAGGTCGGGCGCGGATCCTATGACTGTTGCTTTGAACCTAAAGAGGGGTTGTTGCTGGTTGTTGAACCAATGAATCGACAGTTCGTCTCCTTTGCAGGAAGTCACCAACCACAATTGTGGGGCAAGAACCCATGTTTTTTCAGGATGTTTTGGCGGGTCCAGGGTCCCATTTCAAGAACCTCCTGCTTCATTCTGCATGCTAACCCTCCCGGCCTCGACCACTTTCCAACTTTCGCGAGGGCCCCGAGCCTGCGCCAGAGGCGGGGAGACGCCGCTCAAAGCGATCGACTGCCGTGAAAGCGTGGGGCTGGCAGTTTGAGGTGTGTTCAAAGAAGTTGAGAACGCCGCAATGGTGTTTGACTTGCTTTGTTGTGCGCTGTTCTGGGGGTAGTTTGTTTTGTTTTGTTTGTTTGTTTGTTCTGTGTGGTTCGTTGTGTTTTGTTCTCTTGTGTTTTTTGTTGTCGCTGATTCTGTTGTTTGCTTGATTTGTTTGTTTGTTTGTTCGTTCTGTTTTGTGTTGTTTTGTTTGCTTTGTTGTGTGTTGTGTTGTTCCTTTTTAAGCAGTCATGTGTTGTTTTGTTGGTGTGTTTGTTTGTTTGTTTGTTTTGTTTTGTTTTGCTTTGCTTTGCTTTGCTTTGCTTTGTTTGTTTGTTTGTTTGTTTGTTTGTTTGTTGTGTGCTGTTTTGTTGTGGGGTTGCTTTGGTGTTTGTTGTTTTGTTTTGTTTGTTCGTTCGTTCCGTTTTGTTATGCTCTGTTTTGTGTGGTCGCTTATTTTATGTGTTGTTTGGTTTGTTTCTTTATTTGTTCCGTGTTGTTCGTTCTGGTTTGTCTTGTGTTGTCGTTGATTTTGTTTGTGTTTGTTTGGTTTTTTTGATAGTTTGTTCGCCCTGTGTGGTTTGTGATGGTTTGTTTCTTCGTGTTGTTATTATTTGTGTTATGCCGTTCCCGTTTGTTTAGTGTTTGTTTTCTTTTGATTTGATCGTGGTTTGTTGTGTTTGTTTGTTCGTTCGTTCTGCTTTGTTCGTTCTGTTGTGTGTTGTTTTGTTGCAGGTTTTTATTTTGGTTGAGGTTATGTTTTGTTTTGTTATCTTTGTTTTGGGTTGCTGTGTGTTGTTTTGTGTTGATTGTTTGTTTGTTTGCATGCTTGCTTTATGCTGTGTTTGTCCACATGTGTTGGACCACACCTTGAAGCATCCGTTTTGAGGTCTCACAAGTACTATGAGGACATTATGTTTTGGGGGGGTATATACTGTAAAACTAAATCAAGTCCAGATGATACCACAACAAGGCAATAATGTGCGTATCTGTTAAACCCCCTCTATTTGTGTTTGGTGTGGTTCCCCGTCAGTTTTGAGCATGTCACTCAAATGAACCCAGGAATATGTTAAGCTTCAAGCATGACTTTTTGGGATTGCTGGAAGGGAGCTTCCTTTTGTGATGCTTTGGGTTGCAGATGCCAGGATTCCTGTTGACCGATGGTGGTTGGACAAGGGTTTTGAAGATTGGAACCTTCGGTTTGCGCCACTCGGCCCACGTCACAGGTGGAGGTTCAGATGGCTGCGGTGAAGGCTGCAGAGGCGGAAGGGATGGACGGAGGTCATCTTTTTGTACAACCATCAATTGGTTAGGCCAAAACTCTGTAGATGTATTTGAAGGGATTAGGGCAATTACGCACATTCTCTCATGATCACGACTTTGTGCTGCTTTCACGCCCCCATTCCCCCCTTCCCCCCCTTCCCCCCCTCCCCCCTCCCCCGAATTTGGTGGTGTTTCTTTTGGTTTCCCTTGACGCCAAGTTGAACAGGGCTTTCCACAGGACCCAAAGGAGTCCTCGGAGGAGGAGGAACTTCCAGCGGCCGGAGTCTCAGAGTCTCAGAGACAGATGGAATGGCTCCGTTTCAGCACGGATTTCTGCCAAAAAATGGACCTGTTAGACTGGGGGTGGCCGAAAACAGTGCACTCCCTGAAAACCCAGAAGGCTTGTGTCCACTGGGGCGCCTCGTGCAGTAGTTACTCGCTCCCTGAGTTCCTCCACATACTTTTGGGGAAGACCAGCTTGGTGGTAAATCCATTCATGGAGTGAGAGGAAGACTCAAGCTCAGAGGGGTCGGAAGTCAACAGGCTGTTCGGGTGCACGTGAACGATACCCCAAGAGATCATAGTCCTGGCTGTAGGTCCTCTGGCGTGTTAAGTGTTGACTTGTGTACACACATGCGGGTTGACCAGTATTCCATTTAGGCCCCCAAACATGACCATGCCTGCACCTTCATTTGAACACTTATTTTTACTCGATGTGGTTGTCACACATTTCTGGCCGACTGAACAAACAGTGGACGTTTGGGCCGAGTTGGAAAGAAATTGCCTGATTCTATGGAAAAGGGTCGTGGCTATCCTTGCAGGCTGTTGTCTTGCATCCACAGCCCGCGACTTGCTTGCCATGCGGGTGATGATGATGTTTGCCCTCCCTGGACAATACTTGGCTCGTTCTCTGTGATCCTGCAACTCTAGATTTGACCGCTGTTTGAGATTTGCGGGTGTTTGCGTCCGTGTTGCCGGTGTTTGCGTCCGTTTTGCGGGTTTTGGCGCCCGATTTGCGGCATTTTTTGGGCGCGATTTGGCGCAAAAAAAGAGCATGGTCAGACCAAAGGCCAATTCTTGCTTCCAATTCCTGTCTCTGTGCTGGCTCCACTTCTTAACGGCACAAAATTCAGGATCTGCAACAAAACTAGGCGGTGCCTAGAGCCGCGGGCTCAGCTACCCCAAAAAATGCTTCACAGGTCAGAAACGCACTGTTTTTTTTCTCGAAATGTGTTCGTTTCTCAGAAAGCTGCTCGATTGTGACAACGACCAGTTTTGAAGGCCACTTCCAGAAAAAAGTAGGCAATGTCACAATTGAACAAAAATAAGTAACCGCTTGACGCTGCAGGTGGGTACTTTTTCCATTTAGTGGGACATTGGCGGTTTCCCGAGTGGTCGTCCCATGTAAAGGACCTTTCGATGAACCGCCACATGCGTTTCTGAGCTGTGACGCAGCGCACGGTTGAGTTTGTGTTCGGTTGTCGGCTCCAGCCTCCGAAGTTGATAGCTCAGCGCCCGCGCCGTTTGTCAGCCACAACCATGGCTCCAATGAAAGCGATGAAGGCCATGAAGGCCATGAAGGCCATGAAGGCTATGAAGGCTGGGGTGGTCGTTCGTTTCAATCGCTTGCAACTTGATCCTTTGTTGATGGATGTATTTGCAAAGTCAGTCAGGTGAGGATCGCCTTGACATGCTGTTCCTTCTGTGTTTGCTGGGCAACCGATGCTTGAAGCGAACCCTCTGAGCAATTTGTCAGCCTTTGTCAACATGTTTCAGTGAACCCTGTGTTGATTAGGGGATGCGTGAGGCTGAAGCTGACACAAAGGTGGTTGTTAAGGCTGTACTGTCCTTTGAACATGTTGGCAAACGCAGGCGATGAAGGCGATGAAAGCAATGAAGGCGATGAAGAAATCCATGAAAGCGATGAAGGCGGCTGACGACGAGGAGGCACCCGCGATGAAGAAGGCCATGAAATCGATGAAGGCCATGAAGGCCATGAAGGCGATGAAGGCCATGAAAGCCATGAAGGCAATGAAGGCGATGAAGTGAGAACTGATCAAGATCTCACCTAGGACATGGCGTTTCAATGCCAGCTTCAGTGTCCCCGACAGCATCCGGGGTCTGGATTTTCATTGGTCCTTAGGGCCAATGAGCAAGACGTGTACAGGAAAAGACAAGCGGCTTGACAAGCAGCAATTGCAGAACTCTAGGCAAGTGTTGGGAAGCCACAAGAGGCTCGACATGCATTCTTGTGTTTGAAGTGGTTGTGTGTGTGTGTGGGAGTTTGTGGGTGTGTCTCGTGCATGTGTGTCGTTTTTGTTTAGCACCAATGTCGCAGCACCATGAAGCGTGTTGCCATGCTTTTCCTGTGAGCGGGGTTTTCCGGCTCGGGAGTGAACAAGACAGCTGGTCTATGGACAACTCTCTTTCGTTGTTGCCCGAGCCGTGTTCCCGAAGCGCCAAGCAGAGATGTCGACCTTTTCGGTTGTCGGCTCCAGCCTCCGAAGTTGATAGCTCAGTGCCCGCGCCGTTTGTCAGCCACAACCATGGCTCCAATGAAAGCGATGAAGGCCATGAAGGCCATGAAGGCCATGAAGGCCATGAAGGCTATGAAGGCTATGAAGGCTGGGGTGGTCGTTCGTTTCAATCGCTTGCAACTTGATCCTTTGTTGATGGATGTATTTGCAAAGTCAGTCAGGTGAGGATCGCCTTGACATGCTGTTCCTTCTGTGTTTGCTGGGCAACCGATGCTTGAAGCGAACCGCCTGAGCAATTTTGTCAGCCTTTTTCAACATGTTTCAGTAGACCCTGTGTTGATTAGGGGATGCATGAAACGGAAGCTGACACAAAGGTGGTTGTTAAGGCTGTACTGTTCTTTTGACATGTTGACAAACGCAGGCGATGAAGGCGATGAAAGCAATGAAGGCGATGAAGAAATCCATGAAAGCGATGAAGGCGGCTGACGACGAGGAGGCACCCGCGATGAAGAAGTCCATGAAATCGATGAAGGCCATGAAGGCCATGAAGGCCATGAAGGCGATGAAGGCGATGAAGTGAGGACGATCAGGATCTCACCTAGGGCATGGCGTTTCAATGGTCCAGACAGAATCGCGGGGTCTGGATTTTCATTGGTCCTTAGGGCCAATGAGCAAGACGTGTACAGGAAAAGACAAGCGGCTTGACAAGCAGCAATTGCAGAACTCTAGGCAAATGTTTGGAAGGCACAAGAGGCTCGACAAGCATTCTTGTGATTGAAGTGGTTGTGCGTGTGGGAGGTTGTGGGTGTGTCTTGTGCGTATGTGGTGTTGTTTTTGCTTGGCACCAATGTCGCAGCACCATGAAGCGTTTTGCCATGCTTTTCCTGTGAGCGGGGTTTGCCGGCTCGGGAGTGAACAAGACAGCTGGTCTATGGACAACTCTCTTTCGTTGTTGCCCGAGCCGTGTTCCCGAAGCGCCAAGCAGAGATGTCGACCTTTTCGGTTGTCGGCTCCAGCCTCCGAAGTTGATAGCTCAGTGCCCGCGCCGTTTGTCAGCCACAACCATGGCTCCAATGAAAGCGATGAAGGCCATGAAGGCCATGAAGGCCATGAAGGCCATGAAGGCTATGAAGGCTATGAAGGCTGGGGTGGTCGTTCGTTTCAATCGCTTGCAACTTGATCCTTTGTTGATGGATGTATTTGCAAAGTCAGTCAGGTGAGGATCGCCTTGACATGCTGTTCCTTCTGTGTTTGCTGGGCAACCGATGCTTGAAGCGAACCGTCTGAGCAATTTTGTCAGCCTTTGTCAACATTATTCAGTAGACCCTGGGTTGATTAGGGGATGCATGAAACGGAAGCTGACACAAAGGTGGTTGTTAAGGCTGTACAGTTCTTTTGACATGTTGGCAAACGCAGGCGATGAAGGCGATGAAAGCAATGAAGGCGATGAAGAAATCCATGAAAGCGATGAAGGCGGCTGACGACGAGGAGGCACCCGCGATGAAGGCCATGAAATCGATGAAGGCCATGAAGGCCATGAAGGCGATGAAGGCCATGAAAGCCATGAAGGCAATGAAGGCAATGAAGGCGATGAAGTGAGAACTGATCACGATCTCACCTAGGACATGGCGTTTCAATGCCAGCTTCAACGGCCCAGACAGCATCGCGGGGTCTGGATTTTCATTGGTCCTTAGGGCCAATGAGCAAGACGTGTACAGGAAAAGACAAGCAGCTTGACAAGCAGCAATTGCAGAACTCTAGGCAAGTGTTGGGAAGGCACAAGAGGCTCGACATGCATTCTTGTGTTTGAAGTGGTTGTGTGTGTGTGGGAGTTTGTGGGTGTGTCTCGTGCATGTGTGTCGTTTTTGTTTAGCCCAATGTCGCAGGAAAGGGTGTGTTTTTTTGCCTAGCGCTGGCACAGGGCTAACCCTGGCAGGTGGTTGGTTGGTTGGTTGGTTGGTGGTTGGTTGGTCGGGGGCTCGGTGGGACAGGTTTTTGATGGGTTCAGGGTGGGTTTAGGGTAGGTTTGGGGTAGTCCGTTTAGGTTCAGGGCCTGCATCGTTTTAACATCCTCAGCATCGTTTTCAACATCCTCACCATCACCAGGTTTGGTTTAGGCTGGGTTTAGGGTGGGTTCCAGGTTGGCTCAGGGTCGGCTCTCGATGGGTTCCAAACCTATTGAGAGCAAATTTGGGGTGGCTGGGCTTGCAGCAGATGGTTTAGTGCTGGTTTATGGTGGGGCTTCTTGGGGTTGGTCTCGGGTAGGTTTAGGGCTGGTTTCGGGTGGGTTTAAAATTGGCTGCAGCCATGGCTGTGTTTAAGCCCACTTGGGTGGTTGTGCTTGTGGGAGGTTGTGGGAGTGTCTTGTGCGTATGTGGTGTTGTTTTTGCTTGGCACCAATGTCGCAGCACCATGAAGCGTGTTGCCATGCTTTTCCTGTGAGCGGGGTTTTCCGGCTCGGGAGTGAATAAGACAGCTGGTCTATGGACAACTCTCTTTCGTTGTTGCCCGAGCCGTGTTCCCGAAGCGCCAAGCAGAGCTGTCGACCTTTTCGGTTGTCGGCTCCAGCCTCTGAAGTTGATAGCTCAGCGCCCGCGCCGATTGTCAGCCACAACCATGGCTCCAATGAAAGCGATGAAGGCCATGAAGGCCATGAAGGCCATGAAGGCTATGAAGGCTATGAAGGCTGGGGTGGTCGTTCGTTTCAATCGCTTGCAACTTGATCCTTTGTTGATGGATGTATTTGCAAAGTCAGTCAGGTGAGGATCGTGTTGATATGTTGTTCCTTCTGGGCAACCGATGCTTGAATCAAACTGTTTGAGCAATTTTGTCAGCGTTTGTCAACATGTTCCAGTAAACCCTGTGTTGATTAGGGGATGCATGAAACGGAAGATGACAAAAAGGTGGTTGTTAAGGCTGTACTGTCCTTTGGACATGTTGGCAACGCAGGCGATGAAGGCGATGAAAGCAATGAAGGCGATGAAGAAATCCATGAAAGCGATGAAGGCGGCTGACGACGAGGAGGCGCCCGCGATGAAGAAGGCCATGAAATCGATGAAGGCCATGAAGGCCATGAAGGCGATGAAGGCCATGAAAGCCATGAAGGCAATGAAGGCAATGAAGGCGATGAAGTGAGAACTGATCACGATCTCACCTAGGACATGGCGTTTCAATGCCAGCTTCAATGGCCCAGACAGCATCGCGGGGTCTGGATTTTCATTGGTCCTTAGGGCCAATGAGCAAGACGTGTACAGGAAAAGACAAGCGGCTTGACAAGCAGCAATTGCAGAACTCTAGGCAAATGTTTGGAAGGCACAAGAGGCTCGACAAGCATTCTTGTGATTGAAGTGGTTGTGCGTGTGGGAGGTTGTGGGAGTGTCTTGTGCGTATGTGGTGTTGTTTTTGCTTGGCACCAATGTCGCAGCACCATGAAGCGTGTTGCCACGCTTTTCCTGTGAGCGGGGTTTTCCGGCTCGGGAGTGAATAAGACAGCTGGTCTATGGACAACTCTCTTTCGTTGTTGCCCGAGCCGTGTTCCCGAAGCGCCAAGCAGAGCTGTCGACCTTTTCGGTTGTCGGCTCCAGCCTCTGAAGTTGATAGCTCAGCGCCCGCGCCGATTGTCAGCCACAACCATGGCTCCAATGAAAGCGATGAAGGCCATGAAGGCCATGAAGGCCATGAAGGCTATGAAGGCTATGAAGGCTGGGTTGGTCGTTTGTTTCAATTGTTGTGGATGGATGTATTTGCAAAGTCAGTCAGGCGAGGATCGCTTTGACATGCTGTTCCTTCTGTGTTTGCTGGGCAACCGATGCTGAAAGCAAACCGTCTGAGCAATTTTGTCAGCCTTTTTCAACATGTTTCAGTAGACCCTGTGTTGATTAGGGGATGCATGAAACAGAAGCTGACAAAAAGGTTGTTGTTAAGGCTGTACTGTCCTTTGGACATGTTGGCAACGCAGGCGATGAAGGCGATGAAAGCAATGAAGGCGATGAAGAAATCCATGAAAGCGATGAAGGCGGCTGACGACGAGGAGGCGCCCGCGATGAAGAAGGCCATGAAATCGATGAAGGCCATGAAGGCCATGAAGGCGATGAAGGCCATGAAAGCCATGAAGGCAATGAAGGCAATGAAGGCGATGAAGTGAGAACTGATCAAGATCTCACCTAGGACATGGCGTTTCAATGCCAGCTTCAATGGCCCAGACATCATCGCGGGGTCTGGATTTTCATTGGTCCTTAGGGCCAATGAGCAAGAAGTGTACAGAAAAAGACAAGCGGCTGGACCATCGGCAGGAGCACCTCTTCCATCAGACAGTCAGACAGTAAGGATATTGCCTGCATGTTGCCGACCAGTCTAACCAATCAGCAGGTCGAAGTCTCCACTTCCAGAGATCAAGGTTTCGGGAATTATTATTTGCCGCACCTAATCTCTCTACATTGAGTCCCCAAGGTATCGCACCTCAGTCAACCATTTGCACACCCAGATTCGGCAAGCCTTTGGTGGTCCTTCACAGGCAAATTACATTTCAGTCTTGACAGTCATAGTTGCCTTGCACCCTGGGTCATGTTCAAAGGAGACATATTATGGGTTCGTCTCAAGCAAATAATTAACCCCCGAAAACAGCGATTGTCTCAACTTACCTTCGCACAACTCAAACAGGTAAAAATACCCCACATTTATCCTCAAACCACAACCTGGACTCTCTTGATGGAGCCTCTCAAAATGGGATTCAGCGCGTTGGACCACATCCTAAAACGGTGTGCGTCCAGGTACCTCCTGCGCTTTTCCGCTCGGATCGGATCTCACAGGGTTTGGGTTCGAGGCCGGGGCGCTGCTGGAAGGCTTCGAGGCCTTGCCGGCGAAGGAGAGCGAGAGCGAGGCGGGGGATGGGGGGCGTGGGAGGGGGGGGGCAGTGGGTGAAAATCAGCTAGGTAGCCCTTCATTGGTGCGTTGGATTTAGGATTTCAAGCCCTGGTTCTGTCAAACCATCCCGGAGTATCTCAGTATCTCCAAACTACAAATGCAAACCAGCAATTGGAGGACAGTGCTTATGGTGGCGAGACTCAGCTTCCCTCGAATTGGTGGTTTGGATCTGTGCTTTTTGGAGATACTCCGGGATGGTTTGATAGAACCAGGGGTTGGAATCCTGAATCCAAAGCACCAGTCCAAAGCACCAATGAAGGGATACCTTGAATAATTCCTCCCCCTTTTTGTTCGTTGGACCTTTCAGAAAGGCCAACTTTAGGCATTCCTTTTGGCGGGTGATAAGCTGATGGGTTGGTTTCCCTTTGAATCATTTAAATGGGGTCCCCCCATTTTCAGAAGCGCCCCGGTGAGCACACCCGGGGCATCCAAGGTGAGGTTTGGACAACCAATGCCGACCCCGATTCAGCCTCGATTTTTCTAGGGGGTTGTGTCCTGAACAGCGTGAAGAGTTCCCTTTTTAAATGGAACACACACACACACCACATTAGTCAACTAGGGGTTAGCAGGGCACTCACTCAACTCACTCATTACGAGGTGAGTAGGGGACAGTCCCATCTAGGATACAGTGTCGATATCCGGGCTACTCATCTTTTGAATATATAATGTCCAGAAATCGGATCGGATGCGTTTTCTGTGTTGTTCCGTTTTAGTACTATTTTACTGCTCTTTTGCTATTCTGCAGGGGTGGACACGGAAACTGCATCCAAACTGGTTCCTATATAATGGTTTGGATAGATCAACTACATACCATGCTTGCATTACCTCAGTTGTGGAGTCCAGGGCGGTGCATGTCGTGCCGAGAACCTTCTTCAACCATGCGACCTTGATTGCCTCGGACTGATATTTGTCGCCCTGAAATGGATGAAGTTCTCCTGAAAAGTTGGCATTCCTGATTCCTGATGAATGCAGTCGAGAGAAGCTCTCCTGACTCAAACGACCCTCCCCGTGACCTTTTGAGCGGGAGAAGCATGGGGGATCTGCGGCCAGCTGTCGGGCTCCCCACGCGTTGCTGTCGTGCTGCTGAGTCATCCCAGTTGATGGCTTCGGATTGTTTTTGCTTTGAACCTTTAGGCACGGTGCTCCGCCATGAGCGGATGCCCTTCCCATTTAAGGCATGCTCCTGAAAGACACATTCGACTGGCGAGTTTGGGTCCCAGGAGTGGGGGGGGAGTGCTGCAGTTGTTGAAGGTGGAAATCCAGGTTCGACCACTGGGCTGTGTTTGATGGAAGTCCAAGGAGTACAAAGCCAGCATATGCTAAGGTGTCCTGATCACCCAAAAGCAGGGGCCAAGTCACCAAAATGGAAGGCCAAAGTGTGGTACGCATGAGAAGTTGAACAACAGTCCGACTAGAAGTCCTTTCATGGACAGTTTATGATCAGGCTCTTACATGTGTGTACGCCAAATGCTACTCCTGGTGGGATCCCTAGCCCTAGTTGTACAAATAGTACTCTTGTGGTGGCCGGCTTTGTTCTGCACAGCTCACTATTTTTAGACCAGGGAACCACGGAGCACATGAAAGGCCATGTTCTCTTTGCTTCAGGAGTCTCCGGCCGCGGAAGCGCCGGCGCCGCCCGACAGCCCGAGCTCTGCATCTGAGGCACAATCTGATAGATGCTTTGCACCCCCTAAGGAACCCCCCTGAATGTCAGGCAAGAAGTCGGACAGTTTTCCGCCCGAACTCCAAGATCTCCAGCCCTAAATCAACATTTCCCCCAGAGAACGGAGGGGATTACAGAGAATGTAGGGGCTAAATCAACTTTCCAGAGGAGAATTATTGATTTAGTGGCAACTTAGTAGAACAAACAGCAACCACTTGATACTTGGGAAGGATTTTGAGGTGATAAACAGCCTCCATACCACGAGTGAGGAGTCAAGTGTACGCCTGCTTTTGGAATCAAGTGTGCAACGCGATTCGTCACCACCTCCTTCATCTCCCCGACTGACAAGCTGCTCCATCCCATTCCCATCCCCAGCTGGGTCTCCGCGGGTGATGGGCTAAGAGGGACATCTCTTTGTGCGCCGGCGAGTGTATCGGATGGATTTTTGTCTTGATGATTGACAAATGAGCGGTGCCCAAACCCCATTGGCATTCCAAAGTCGCTGGTTCTGCGACTTTGTTGTACAAGGGCTATAGTAAGACCTACATAATTTTTTTGAATATAGTCATCTTAGCAGGACCAAAGTCCTTTGGGCGCTGCAAAGAAGGCAGGGCGCCTGTCTCCAGTTCACTGATTTTGGTCACCCGCAGGCCCCGCCACCTGCGGAGCCTCTGCTTCCCGCGCAGGCTCGGTCCGGACCACGCGCACAAAAATATGGTGTGTGTGTGTCTGTGTCTGTGTCTGTGTCTGTGTCTGTGTCTGTGTCTGTGTCTGTGTCTGTGTCTGTGTCTGTGTCTGTGTCTGTGTCTGTGTCTGTGTCTGTGTCTGTGTCTGTGTCTGTGTCTGTGTCTGTGTCTGTGTCTGTGTCTGTGTCTGTGTCTGTGTCTGTGTCTGTGTCTGTGTCTGTGTCTGTGTCTGTGTCTGTGTCTGTGTCTGTGTCTGTGTCTGTGTCTGTGTCTGTGTCTGTGTCTGTGTCTGTGTCTGTGTCTGTGTCTGTGTCTGTGTCTGTGTCTGTGTCTGTGTCTGTGTCTGTGTCTGTGTCTGTGTCTGTGTCTGTGTCTCTGTGTCTGTGTGTGTGTGTGTGTGTGTGTGTGTGTGTGTGTGTGTGTGTGTGTGTGTGTGTGTGTGTGTGTGTGTGTGTGTGTGTGTGTGTGTGTGTGTGTGTGTGTGTGTGTGTGTGTGTGTGTGTGTGTGTGTGTGTGTGTGTGTGTGTGTGTGTGTGTGTGTGTGTGTGTGTGTGTGTGTGTGTGTGTGTGTGTGTGTGTGTGTGTGTGTGAGGGTTTCCTTTTTGACAAAAGCGGAAAGGGTCAGGGCCCCGGTTTTTGACAAATTCCAGAATCAAGCGAGGTACAACATGTTTTTTTTGCATGGCCACTGTGGGAAGTTGTCCTCGATCGGCGAAAGCTGTTGCAACTGATAGATGTGTATAGATGTCCGCTTGTCCTTGTCAGGGCTTCCTAATTTTGGAGAAAACATGGCCCCACTGAGCATGTTTGATGTATTTTGGAGGTATTTCCGGTCTGTTTCTCAAGCCAGCTGGCACAAGGACACAGTTTGTGTGCCGGGGTGTTGAACCGACCGCCGATTCACTCTGAATGTCAGTGGTAGCATTCAACGTTGAGGCGTGCTTTTTTTCGTGATTTTCCTTCCGGTTTCCCCTCAAACCTACCCAACACGGGTGCCCTCAAAACAAAGCACACACACACACACCTTGGTGTTTCTGACAAAAGGGTTGCACTAGAACGGATTGGATTCCTTTTGCTCAAATCATGGAGCCAGAATCAAAAAGCGATCCGGGACAATACATTCCCAACCAGATATCAAATCAAAGCCTGTAGATATTGGGCCTTTGTCAAGACTGTGCTCGCTTTTCCCGAGAGTGTGGCTTCACTGGAGTAATACATTGTGATGTTTTTCCAGGCCGTCTGTTTTTCCAGGCCGTCTGAATCCAGAAACCCTTTTTGGTGGTTTGGATTGGCGGTTTGGGGAATTGACCTGGTCCGTGTAGAGGGTAATGACACCACCCCTAAACTCCAAGCCACCGCTCCCAGCCTCCAATTGGTGGGAAGCTGACTGAAGATAAAATGCAAGACGAAACCCAGGAATTTCAGACTTGCACCCAGCCCTCGTTTAGCAGCTTAAGGAGTTCGCCTTGTGGCACGTTCGATAGGAAAATGGGACCCCTTGTTCTCACATCTCTGGGGGTTGGGAACTTTTGGACCGCTAAACTCTAACCCCCAATCCCCGAAACCTAGGGTGTGACTCACGAGAATTCTGATTCCACATTTACCGCATGGTCCAGAAGTACATTTGGAGCAAAAGAGGTTTGCACGTTCGGGGGGGTCACTTGAATGTCCATAATCAAAAGTCAGGATAAGCATACGGCGCCCCCGTTCTCGTTGTAGCCTTGGCTGCCTCGGTTGCTTCAGGAGGCTAAAAACCCGGCAAACCCCACTTTACACACGTTATACCCCCGCCCCTTTTCTGGCCAAATCAGGCGTCAAAAGCGGCAGTTCAGAACCTGACCTTGCGCCTTAAGAAGAACAGCACTTGACTCCCCACTCAAGAGCACCAGCAAGAGCACTGTTCCCTGCAACATCCATTGGGTCCATTTTTACTCCGCAGGCGACGGCTCCGCATGCCGAAGCTTTGCCGGTACTGGGCTTGGGTGCATTCCGGCAGAGAAAGGGGTGGTCGATGTTGAGAAAGCGCTGGCAAGAGGAGCAAGTTTGAGATGTCCACGAAACGTTTTTGCTAAATGGGCTTGATGTTCTTTGCTGCTGGCTCTTCGAACAATTAGAACAAAACGGCCACCTTTGTTTTGCAAGGAATCAGACTCGGACAGCGACTACTACCCGCCCGGCCCTGCAGAGGCATGGGCTGGCTCGCTGCGTTCTTTTCGTCTTGGGGCGGGTTTCCCTTTTTTTTTTTACGTCCAGCCAAAAGAGGGGTGTTGTTTCCAAAGCCCTGGCTGCAGATGTGGGAAGTTGCATTGCGCTGCCCTGTGATGAATTCAGAGCAATGTTGGAGGCTGCGATGAGGCACAGGTGGGTCTGGCGCTTTTGAGGTTGCCCTTTTCAGGTTCAAATCGGATGAAGTTGGAGGGAAGCCGCCAGTACCAGAAGCCCAGGGAAACCCTATTGGAGCCACAATCAAAACCCAGGGTAGATGAAGGTTAGCAAGGGGCAATCCCAACCATAAATAGCTTGGCTGCCTTCTGAATTCTTTAAGACATGGTTCCGGGTCGACCATTTTAATACCGGGTTTTCATTGTGACTCATATGTTATTTGCTTTTGTTTGGAGGGAACAGCCATTTCGCGTTTTTTTCCTTTGGGGCAACCCCAGGTCTGCGCTCTTTGGCAGGATCCTTTGTGGGCTCGCCGCCAAGCGATCCTCAAGAAGATTGCCATGAGCTGACTCAGTTCATCCAATCTGCCGTGGATATCGTAAGGTTGGGTCAAAACCCATGGGATCCCATTTTGGGGTAGGTGCACCACCCATTTTAGAACCTATTTTAGTGGGGATTGGGATGTTCACTGGGGGTACGGGCTTTTGACCCATGGCCATGTGGCTAGGAATTTTTCAATGGGGCACCACCTCCAAAGTGATTGGTTATGAACCCCCAGCCACCAAATGTACCCTATTAATATTCATGTCCATGTACTATTGTGCCATGGCTTGTGGTTGGGTTGATTGCCATATTTACACGCTGACGCGACACAGCCGGCCACCGGGCACCTTGCCCTGCCCGTTCTGTGACTTCCCTTTCCGGTAAGTCCGATGAGTAGATGTTAAGACTTAAAAATTCTAAAGACTTTGAGATTCTAAGGGTCTCAGATTTGAAGACTTTTGGAATTTAAGGTTTCAATGGTTTAAGAATTAAGGTTTTAAGATTCAAAGATTTAAGGTTTTTGAAGGTTATAACAGCCAGGCCATTGCCCAGCCATTTTCCATCCAGTATCAGATTTCGAAGGCTTTAAGTTTTTTTTTTGTGAGATTTTCAGATTTTGCGACTTTCGGAATTTAAGATTGTAAGATCTTAAGATGTCAAGACTTCAATATTTCAAGATTAAGAGTTGAAGGAATTTAGAATATAGCCCGGATTGAAGGAATTTTATTATATGTTGCTTGTTTATGAATTTAAGATTTTCAGATTGCAATAGTTCGAGATTTAAAGAATCTAAGTTTCAGAGTCTGAGATTTTAAGACTTTGAGAAGTTAGGAATTTCATATTTTACCATTTTAACATCTGAAGATTCAACGACATGAGGGTTTTAAGAAGTCAAGATTCGAAGACTTGAGGATGTTTATATTTTCAGGTTGCAAGATTCTATCTTCTAAGGTTGTAATTTTAAGATCTTAAGGTTTCAAGATTTCAATAATTCAAGATTAAGAGTTTAAGGAAGTTAAAATCTAGCCCGGATTGAAGGAATGTAACGTTTTAATAATTTAAGATTTTCACATTTCAATTGTTCGAGGCTTAAAGAATTTAAGTTTTTAAAGCTTTTTAAGATTCTGAGATTTTAAGATTGTAAGACTTTAGGAATTTCATATGTTAAGAGTTTAAGATCTCAAGATTCTAAGACATAAGGTTTGTAAGGTTTCAAGATTCGAAGACTTTAGGAAGTTTTTATATTTTCAGATTTTAAGATTCTAAGTTCTAAGATTTTAAGATCTTGAGATTCTAAGATTGATTGTTAGATTTTAATTTAAGATTTTAAGAATCTAAGACTTTAGGATTTTGAGATTTCAATCCAGGCCATTTTCCATCCACTTCAGATTTTAAGATTTTCAGGCTGCACGTTTTCGGCAAAATTGGCCCGACTTAGGGGACAACATCCCCAGCATCCCTCGCATCGCCAGCATGCATAGCATCATCCGCATCATCCGGGATGATGCTGGCAATGCTGGGGGTGTAGTCCTGTATTAGGCACCCCCTAAAAATACTCGTTTTTGGACTCGTTTTTGGGCTCTGCGGGGAGATGCTACAAAAATCCTCGGAAATTGCCTAAACCAATCCGCAAATCCTTCGCCCCTTATAAGGGAGGGCCCAGCATAAAACGTATGCGCATGTTCTGCGCATGGTCGGCGCATGGTCGGCGCATGGTCATGGGGCGCGCGGCCTTATACCTGAAGGTAAGCCCTAACGGGCTTTGGCCTGCGGCCCGATCACGTCCGGTGGCCGGATTTACACGCTGACGCGACACAGCCGGCCACCGGGCACCTTGCCCTGCCCGTTCTGTCACTTCCCTTTCCTGTAAGTCCGATGAGTAGATGTTAAGATCTTAAAATTCTAAAAACTTTGAGATTCTAAGGGTCTCAGATTTGAAGACTTTCGGAATTTAAGGTTTCAATGGTTGAAGAATTAAGGTTTTAAGATTCAAAGATTTAAGGCTTTTGAAGGTTATAACAGCCAGGCCATTGCCCAGCCATTTTCCATCCAAGGCTTTAAGATTGTATTTTTGTGAGATTTTCAGATTTGGCGACTTTCGGAATTTAAGATTTTAAGATCTTAAGATGTCAAGACTTCAAAATTTGAAGATTAAGAGGTTAAGGAATTTAAAGTATTGCCCGTATTGAAGGAATTTTATTATATTTTTACTTGTTTATGAATTTAATATTTTCAGGTTGCAATAGTTCGAGATTCATATTTTCAGATTTTAACATCTGAAGATTCAAAGACATGAGGGTTTCTGTCACTTCCCTTTCCTGTAAGTCCGATGAGTAGATGTTAAGATTTTAAAATTCTAAAAACTTTGAGATTCTAAGGGTCTCAGATTTGAAGACTTTCGGAATTTAAGGTTTCAATGGTTGAAGAATTAAGGTTTTAAGATTCGAAGATTTAAGGCTTTTGAAGGTTATAACAGCCAGGCCATTGCCCAGCCATTTACCATCCATTATCAGATTTCGAAGGCTTTAAGATTTTATTTTTTGTGAGATTTTCAGATTTGGCGACTTTCGGAATTTAAGATTTTAAGATCTTAAGATGTCAAGACTTCAAAATTTGAAGATTAAGAGTTGAAGGAATTTAGAATAATATAGCCCGTATTGAAGGAATTTTATTATATTTTACTTGTTTATGAATTTAAGATTTTCAGACTGCAATAGTTCGAGATTTAAAGAATTTAAGTTTTTGAAGCTTTTAAGATTCTAAGATTTTGAGAATTTAGGACTTTCATATTTTCAGATTTTAACATCTGAAGATTCAAAGACATGAGGGTTTCTGTCACTTCCCTTTCCTGTAAGTCCGATGAGTAGATGTTAAGATTTTAAAATTCTAAAAACTTTGAGATTCTAAGGGTCTCAGATTTGAAGACTTTCGGAATTTAAGGTTTCAATGGTTTAAGAATTAAGGTTCTAAGATTTCATATTTTAAGAGTTTAAGATCTCAAGATTCTAAGACATAAGGTTTTTAAGATTTCAAGATTCGAAGACTTTAGGAAGTTTGTATATTTTTAGATTTTAAGATTCTAAGTTCTAAGATTTTAAGATCTTGAGATTCTAAGATTGATTGTTAGATTTTAATCTAAGATTTTAAGAATCTAAGACTTTAGCATTTTGAGATTTCAATCCAGGCCATTTTCCATCCATTTCCACCCACTTTAGATTTTAAGATTTTCAGGTTGCATCCCCCGCATCGCCAGCATGCATAATATCATCCGCATCATCCGGGATGATGCTGGCAATGCTGGGGGTGTTGTCCAGTATGCACCCCCCAAAAATACTCGTTTTTGGACTCGTTTTTGGGCGCTGCGGGGAGATGCTACAAAAATCGCCTAAACCAATCCGCAAATCCTTCGCCCCTTATGAGGGAGGGCCCAGCATAAAACGTATGCGCATGTTCTGATCATGGTCCGCGCATGGTCGGCGGCATGGGGCGCGCGGCCTTATACCTGAAGGTAAGCCCTACCGGGCTTTGGCCTGCGGCCCGATCACGTCCGGTGGCCGGATTTACACGCTGACGCGACACAGCCGGCCACCGGGCACCTTGCCCTGCTCGTTCTGTCACTTCCCTTTCCTGTAAGTCCGATTAGTAGATGTTAAGATTTTCAGATTCTAAAAACTTTGAGATTCTAAGGGTATCAGATTTGAAGACTTTCGGAATTTAAGGTTTCAATGGTTTAAGAATTAAGGTTTTAAGAGTCAAAGATTTAAGGTTTTTGAAGGCTATAACAGCCAGGCATTGCCCAGCCATTTTCCATCCATTATCAGATTTCGGATGTTTTAAGATTTTCTTTTTTGTGAGATTTTCAGATTTGGCGACTTTCGGAATTTAAGATTTTAAGATCTTAAGATGTCAAGACTTCAAAATTTCAAGACTAAGAGTTTAAGGAATTTAAAATATAGCCCGGATTGAAGGAATTTTATTATATTTTTTTCTTGTTTATGAATTAAAGATTTTCAGATTGCAATAGTTCGAGATTTAAAGAATTTAAGTTTTTGAAGCTTTTAAGATTCTGAGATTGAAGATTTTGAGAATTTAGGAATTTCATATTTTAAGATTTTATCATCTGAAGATTCAAAGACATGAGGGTTTTAAGAAGTCAAGATTCGAAGACTTTAGGATGTTTATATTGTCAGGCTGTAAGATTCTAACTTCTAAGGTTGTAATTTTAAGATCTTAGGGTTTCAAGATTTCAACATTTCAAGATTAAGAGTTTAAGGAATTTAAACTATAGCCCGGATTGAAGGAATGTAATATTTTAAGCAAGATTTTCAGATTTCAATTGTTCGAGGTTTAAAGAATTTAAGTTTTTAAAGCTTTTTAAGATTCTGAGATTTTAAGATTGTAAGACTTTAGGAATTTCATATTTTAAGAGTTTAAGATCTCAAGATTCTAAGACTTTAGGATGTTTTATATTTTCAGATTTTAAGATTCTAAGTTCTAAGATTTTAAGATCTTGAGATTCTAAGATTGAGTGTTAGATTTTAATTTAAGATTTTAAGAATCTAAGACTTTAGGATTTTGAGATTTCAATCCAGGCCATTTTCCATCCATTTTCCATCCACTTTAAGATTTTAAGATTTTCAGGTCGCACGTTTTCGGCAAAATTGGCCCGACTTAGGGGACAACATCCCCAGCATCCCCCGCATCACCGGCATCATCCGCATCAATGCCCGCCAAGGATGCGGATGATGCAGGTGATGCCGGGGATGTTGTCCACTCTGGGCACCCCCCAAAAAACACTCGTTTTTTGACTCCTCGAGGAGATGCTCAAAAAGCCGCCAAAACTCGCCTGAACAAATCCGTAAATCCTTCGCCCCTTATAAGGGCGGGCCCAGCGCAAAAGTATAGCGCATGGTCGGCGCATGGTCGGCGGTGGTCGGCGGCACAGGGCGGCCGGCCTTATACCTGAAGGTAGGCCCTGCGGGCCTAGGCCTTCGGCCGTATCACGGACCACGGGGTCTGAAGCCCCCCGGTGGCCGGATTACACGCTGACGCGACA